GGAAATGGAGAAGCCATAGAACTTATATATACAATCCATGGACAGGAACTAAGGTTGGGGGGAGATACTGGAGGGAGAGGGGTGCAGGGTGGAGGGGGATAAAGGGAAGGAAAAAAATAGGGACAACTGTATTAACATAGTCAATAAAATATACTTTTAAAAAGTTTTCCAGAAGGGAAGGGATAAGGAAGAGAGGGAGAGAAACACCAGTGTGAGGTTGCCTCTCATGTGACCCCCACTGAGGACCTGGCCTGCAACCCAGGCATGTGCCCTAGACTGGGAATTAAACCTGCAACCCTTTTGATTTGCAGGCCAGCATTCAATCCACGGAGCCACACCAGCCACGGCCAATAAAATATACTTTAAAAAGAGTACTCTTTATTGGGGCTGCATCTTCATGTCATGATACTGATCTCCATTGCGGGACATCTCAGGACCAAGAAATACTGCTTTTCCTGTGCAATAAACTTTTTCTATGAAAAGGTTACCGTGAATTTTCTAATTATCCTATTCTGCTCTTTGCCAATTTTGTTCCATCTCTAAGCTAATGTACAGGACCCAATAGTAAGCATTTGCTTAATTTAAAAACTCTGTTTTACCTTATTTTTTTCTTCCTCTATTTTGGCTTCATTTTAATCTTCTCCATTTATTTTAACATATCTGTTAAGTCATCTGAACTAAATTTTTGGAAAATAAGTCATACCACCCTAAATTATTCCTTATGGTGCATAACATGCACATTCCTTACTAAATTCTCCTGGTTTAGGAGCAAGAAAAAAAAATTTGTTATGAGCTGACAGGGAAAATAATCTGGAGGAAAAAATGAGATACAGGTCTTTTCTTACATAAAATTTCTTAGTTAGCCAATGAAGTGTGGAGATAAAGAATCAGTCTAGATTAGGACAAATGGCCCCAAACATGCAATGTTCCAACCACAAGCTCTCATGAAAGTAGCTTAATTTGGAAAACTGAAAGGAAATCAAGATAGTCTTATAGACTACAATTCTGAAATTAAAAGATTCAGTAGCTCTTAAATAGGATATCAATACCAAAATTAACAGAATTAAAGGACAGTTAGTATTTATTAAGTAGTCAATTATGTGCTCAGCACTGAACATGTATTACAGCATAGCTATTCTTACACGTCAATCTAGGAAAGTAGGTACAATTATTTCCATTTGTTACAAATGGCTTGAAGAGGGTGACTATCCAAAGACCATATAACCAGTACACAATGGAATGAGAATTATTTCAGTATTTGATTACAAAGCTCATTCTTTATTCCAAGTACTAGGGCTGCCTCTTTATACACATGTATGAATCTGATCCCCTAACATTTCAAATACACTAGGTCAGACATGGTCTCTACTTACAAAGATTAAAATATAGTGTGTGGTGCTGTGACAAGTGTGTACCAGAGCCTTGTCACAATGAAACAGAAAAAAGCCTGTCCTGCCTCAAAGATTTTTTTTTTTAAAGCAACAATTATTCAGCATAAACAGATAAAGTGTGATGAAAGAGGCAAGATAAAATCCATGTACTACGTATCTATGTGCCAAAAGAAGGGGTAATCGTTTTAGAGTATGTTATAGAGATCAGTCTATCAAAAACCAATAGAGTTTCATTTTGCAAGAAGTCAAGGATAAAGAAAATGATACACATGGAGTTAAACTTCAAGTGTAGACATATGGACTGAAGTAAATTCATATGAGATAAAGTGGGTAGAAATAGCTGCTAGAAAACCGAATCATACTCCATGCTATTTCATTTCCAGTTCTGGTGTTTTATTTAAGAAGACACAATGAATCAACAGGTTAGAGTTATTGCTTCCTTGTTCTTGTATTTATATCCTCCATTTGAAAAAGCAGTAAAATCTATCTTCGTCCATTCTGTGAATGAAGTAATAAGCAAAAATGACCACTGCTTACTTCAAAAGAACCTAGGGAGGAAAAAAACATACAGCTCACTTAAATCAGATTTAAACAGTCTTTATAGTTAGGATGAGGAAAAAAGATAAAAGATTAATGTGACAATATTACAAATTATCTAGATCTCTCACACACACACACGCAAAATCACAACCAGTTTTTTTTTTTAAATATTTTATTTGTTTATTTTTAGACAGAGGGGAAGGGAAGGAGAAAGAGAGGGGCAGAAAATGTGTGGTTGCCTCTCGCGCCCCCCCACCACTGGGGACCTGGCCTGCAACCCAGGTATGTGCCCTGACTGGAAATCGAACCGGTGACCCTTTGGTTCACAGGCCGGCACTCAATCTACTGCGCCACACCAGCCAGGGCACAACCAGTTTTTTTTTATTACCACATTTTTACCTTGGTGATCTTAGATAAAAAAGGTATATACTAAGGTATACTCTGATTCTGAAGTGGAAGACTGAACTACAGAGACAATTTATATTTTATAAAAAAGCAATCCAATTTTAGACAGAATTTTATCAAATAAAAATACAATCAGCCCTGGCCGGGCTGCCAAGTTGGTTGGAGTATCATCGTATCTGGATTCAATTCCCTATTAGGGCACATACACCTAAGCTGTAGGTTCAACAATCCCCATTGAGGCAGGTATACGACGCAATCGATGTTTCTCTCCCTCTCTTTTTTTCTCTCTCTTCCTTGCTTCCTAAAATCAATAAATATATCCTCAGGTAAGGATTAAAATAAATACAATCATATAAAGATGTCAGTAGTATTACTCCTTTACAATTCTATATTATAGACAACTGTGTTTTGTTTTAGTCAGAGAAACCAAGAGTAAAAAATTGGGGCAAGAACATTTATTGTACATCACATAAAGTAAAACATAAAATAATATAGTACCAAAATGCCTACACAAACACAATGATAACAAATGCTCTAGTGCTCTAGGCTACATTTTCAATAAATAATACAGTGAGCAATAAATTTTGGTTCAAATTAAGGTTCATGCTGATCATCTTTCAGATCTAAAGCACTGACATCTCTAGATACTAACCAAAATTCACAATTTAGACAAAACTGTTTTTTAAAATTTAGAAATTCTAACTGTATTAGCTGAGACTGTGTATTCTTATGTTTCAGCTAATATGTCACTAACGGAGGATAAAAAAGCTTTCTGAATAGAATTTAACTTCTTTTTAGCATTTAAAAAATAAGACTCAAAATTCACCATGTATTTAGACAATGATGTTATTCTAGCTTCATGTTGTTATTCATCCTATCATTTCCAGTATACACAATCAACCCACTTAACTATCCAATTCCCCCATTGTTAGCATAAAAATCTGCAAGAAAAAAAGAAATTTCAGAACAATATAAAGTTTTATGTTGTTGTAGATTGATTCATTTCCCAAAATAGGAAAACAAAAGTTAGGCAAGAGGAGAGATAGAGGATGAATGGTGGAATCCATTCCTCTTTTTCCTTTGACCAGAAACTGCAGAGAGCACCTGAAGGCTTCTCTGTATCTTGTTTTAACAAGAGTACTTTTTAGTATCAAACCCTGTAAATGGTGTACTCATTAACTCTGTGTGCCATATGCCATTGAGCCACTTCTGACTCTGAGCGAGCCTATGAGTAAGGGATGTCCACAATGTCCTGTCCTCAACAGCCCTGCTCACCTCCTGCAGGCCCACGTCTATGGCTTTTTAAGTGGAGTTAATCCAGCTCATATTTGGTCTTCCTCTTTTCCTGCTGCCTTCTATTTTTCCCAGCATTCTTTTTCTTTTTTTTTAAAGATTCTATTTATTTTTAGAGAGAGGGAAAGGGAGGGATGAAGTGAGGGAGAGAAACATCAATGTGAGAGGGAAATATCGATTAGATGCCTCTCATTTGCACCCCAACTGGGGACCTAACCTGTAACCCAGGCATGTGCCCTGAATGGGAACTGAACCAGAGACCTTTTGTTTTGTGGGACAATGCTCAACCAACTGAGCCATCCTGGGCAGGCCATTATTTTCTTTTCCAAAGAACGTTGCCTCCTCAGGATGTGCCTGAAGTAGGACAGCTTCAGTTTTGTCATTTTTGCCTCCAATGGTACTTCAGGCTTAATTTGCTCTAGGACTCACCTGGTTATCCCTCTGGCAGTCTAGGAGTATCTGTTGAGCTCTCATTTGACATTTTATTTCAAATGAGTCAATTTTTTTTCTACCAGCCTTCTTCACTGTCCAACTAACATCTGTACATGGTAACTGGGGATGTGAGAGTGTACATGATCTTAACCTTGGTTTCTAATAACACAACTTTGCTCTTAGTGATCTTTCTTAATTCTGCCATGGCCACTCTTCCAAGTTTCAGCCTTCTTTTGATTTTTTGGCTCTAAGTTAATGACTAAAACAAGATAAGCAAAACCTTTAACAATTCCTTTTTTTTTTTTATTTTTAAATTTTATTTATTTATTTTTAGGGAGAGGGGAAAGGAGAGAGAAAGAGATGGAGAGAGACACTGATGTAAGAGAGAAGCATTGGTCGGTGGCCTATGGCATGCTCCCTGACTGGGACTGAACCCACAACCCAGGCATGTGCCCAGACTGGGAATCAAACCTGCAACCTTGGCATATTAGGACACTCTAACCAACTAAGCTACCTGGCAAGGGCTTTTAACAATTCTACAATGTCTACCCAAAGCCTTCCTTAGTATCACTTATTTGAGGACTCCTCACCCTCTATTAGAGAACCACACACACAGATAGTGACAACTTTCTTTGTGACCTCACAGCTCTAATTGCAGAGCACTTGTTCAGTGACTACAAATTTTGAAGGATGTACAGTATAGAATGCAATGAGAACTGCACTGGAAGTTAGGAGACGTGGGTCCTACTCCTGGTCTATAATCTCTGTAAGTTACTAACTTCTCTGAATTTCAGTTTCCTTAAGAGAAAAGTCAACATTATAATATATAAACTCTTGAGCTTTTTAGCTTAGAAATTCTAAACTTTCATGGCAGGCTTTTATAGACCAGTAGCTCCTTCTGTTACTACAGATATAAATGAGAGTTAGGATTCCTCTTCTTATTTAAATAATAATTTCTCACCCTGGCCAGTGTGGCTCAGTTGGTTGGAGCCATGTCCCATAAACAGAAAGGTCAGAGGTCTGATTCTCGGTCAGGGCACAGACCCAGGTTGTAAGTTTGGTCGTCTGGTCAGGATGCATATGATCAATGTTTCTCTCCTTCTCTTTCTTCCTTCCTCCTACCTCTAAAAAGAGAGTATCTGTAAGTAATACTCGGTGAAGCTGAAAAAAAGGTTCATATATTCACATATATCAATTTACTGAAGATAAATCCCTAATTTTACATATAGCTAATTTTTTTTCAAAGTTCAATAGTTAGAAGAAATTCATCCTAAGGCAAGGACCTATTAGCATTTATGATTACACATCATAGCGACTTATAGAACACTGGTACGGAAAACACATTCTTAATTGAAAATAACTTACCATTTAAAGTCAAATCTAGAAATCTCAATCCTTTTTCCACTTTCTGCTGCCTTTACTTCACTTGGTATGACATGCTCTATCTCTTTTGTGCAGATTTTGTCAGTAGTCATCAATCTGAAGAACTTCTTCTGCTGCCACCTACCAGTTTATTTCTCTGCTGCAGCAGAAGGGTATACAGAAAAAGTTCCTGCTTACTATTCAGATTAAATAGAAAAATTCCTTTATTTAACATTTTATTTCTCACATGTACACAACCTTTATCACTGTTTCCCCAAGGCCTCTGTGCCCAAATCCAAGACAAAAAAAATCCCAATTAATGAAAATCAAATGATGTATGAACAATGTTCATGCTAAGTTGGGAAAATAAAAAAGGTGCAAAGATTTAGACACTTAACAGTTGTTATCTCAAGGAGCCGTTTCTTTTCTATTATGCTTCCCTTCTTCGCTTATCCCTATAATCTTATGAATAAATGCATAACTTAAATTTTAACTAGGCAATTTTTTAATTCCTGCAAATTTTACGTTCAGAGACTAACAAAAGAATTGTGGAAGATGTAGCAATAAAGGAGTTTTTAAAAGTAATTCTAGAAACTAAGGGTAGATGCTTTACCTGCTTGAGTTTTCAATGTTCTGGACTGCTTATTGCCCAATGGCTCTGAATACATTAAAACACGAACACATACGCCACCTACATTTAAAATAGGGTAGCATTTGTATGCCCATATAAGCATTGGGTATATTTTTTGCAAAATAGTAATAAATTCATTAAATCCTTTTAAAAGAACTGACCATAAATGCACATTTCCTCAAACTGTGTACATACATAAAAGAATTAGGGCAAAAAAGCATAACATAATGACAAATGCAATAGCAGTTGTAGAACTAGAAATGAACACCACATTAATGTTTTATTTGTTAAAATCCTGAAATTCATTTCTATTCCCATGCTCTTCGTCACTGGGGGTCTAGGTTTCAAATTTATTCTGTATTAATTACTAAAGAACAGTAACCAATATTGAACTAGTAAAAATAGTAAAGGCTTGTTTTGGTTCCACCCTCCCACTACCTTTACTCCAGAATAAAAATATGTACAGTTTTGCCAACTTAAAAAATAAAACAAACACTAATATAAGCACCAAAGGTTAGTCAACAGTGGCACTGCAGTGACATTGCTTCTACTTTCTTAATTCCTTCCCCCATCTCAAACCCCACCCTTTGACCTCTGTATATGGGATGAGCCTGAGCAGGAGAGTTGGTGATGTCAGGACTGCGCCGTTCCCACGGATGATCCTAGAGGCCTGCTGTGCTTCTGGGAACTGGGGCACAGGGATGTCTGTCTGACTGAAACCTAAAACAACAACAATTCACCCCACCCCTCATGTTCCCAAACCCCACAATAGCAGCCAGGTATATATGCTGTATAAGGCCCACCTACTAAGTGATTATGATAAAATCTACAATCAAGATCATTCTTATCAAGTCAGTGATCTCCATGGGAGCAGCAGAATGGAGGTTGCTAAATTCTGTGTGTCCCATGCAGTCATACAGTCTACACATCCTAAAGCTGGCCATTCTTATCAACAAGAGAATAAGGTTCTCCTGTACAAGCCTTTTTTTAGTATACATCTAAATTCCAACAAGAATGCAGCTGGGATTCCTTTGTTAGTATATTTCTGTTCAACAGATAAATTATGTTTGTCTTAAAACGCTCAGGGAAGTTTCTGTTCCTATCTTATAGGAGTGAAATAAAGCACAAAACAGGTTAACGGTTTATTTTGTGCCTTCTGATGTAGAAATAGCATTGTAAGCCAGGATTTCCTACTAACTAGTGATTTACTGGACTTAGTCTCTTTGGATAGGACATCTAAAGTCACGGGATAAAATTATGCAGAAGTATATCCTGAAAAGGTCCTGACCGTTGCCACTAAAATCCTATTAGAAAGAGGATTATCTTCCAAAATGATAACTCATATCAGAGCTAAAACTTTAGGAAGGACAGGAAAAAGGAGGAAAGGGTATCTGGATTGGAGTACACAGAGGAAGGGATAGTATATTAACAAACAGGAAGGCTATTAAAACGGACAAACTGTATTCCTATTCCTGCCATTAACTTTATGGCCTTTGTTAATCTCCTTAACAGTCTTGTGCTTCAGGAATGCCTTCTAATCTGTTCAAACCTGTATTTTTTTAATGTTTGAACTATTATTTTTTGATAATCTCAAACTATTCACATCTATCTCTGTTACACTAGTGTCTCAAATGTTAAAATAATTAGTTCTGAAATCATGCTGCTTTTGAAATAACCAAAATACTTTCTTCTATTTTTGTCTAATCTTTCCCTTCCACTTTTATGATGTCACAAAAAGAGACAGACTCAAGTCAACTAAATGCTATTGTGAGTTACCATATATATATAACCTAGAACCTAATTTTACCTTTTTAAAACTCTAGTTTTCCATACCTGTCAACTCCTAATTGATGTCTTTATACTGTGAGCTCACTGTGTACTCGGAACACCAACCCCTGAAAAAACTTAAGCCAGAGTAGCACAATGGAAAAAACAAACAAACCCAAAACAAAAACAAAACCAAAAAGTCACACTCTGAAATACTTAATTATAGACATATATGCAAGGAATGGAGTTATCTATATGGTTTAAGCACATACCCGATGAGTCCTGAGTTCATCCCAACCAATTCAAACTTTATCCCCAAATGTTCTTCTTTAATCAAGTTATAGATATAGTTATGCATTATTTTTTAAAATGAGTGTTATTACAAACCCATGGTTACCTTTAAAGTATGTAAAGAAATTTTTTATAAAGGAAAATAAAGTTAGCCTTGTGATGGAAGGAAAGGATAAAGAGTCAAATTACCTGCAAACAGGCTGGGTCTGTGCCTGAATCCAAACCGATGCATTTACCATTCATTATACAGCTGCATTATTGGGGGAAGGGGAGTTTAGAAGGGCACTGACCCCAAAAGTTCTCAATACTTCTCACTCATCATCAGGAAGGGGGAAGAAGGAAAGTGTTTTCTCTGGGTATTTGTTTGTTTGTTTGTTTTTGTTTTTTTGGCTCCTGAAAAGGCTGGCAAAGAACAGTAACAGTAAAAGCAGTTAGAATATATCTCTAAAAACAATTTAAAAAATGCAAAACATTAAGGAATTAAAACACCAAACTTTCGTTAATATAGAAAGAAATTTTCACTAGAGTTAGGCAGCCACCCCAAAACATCATGGCAAAAGGGCACTGGTATAAAGGAAATAAAATACCACACAAAAATTCAAAACAAAACTAAAAACTTCAAATTAAACCTGTTAGACTAGAAGATTCCAACAGCAGATTTCTGTCCACTACTGAAACATTCCAAATTCCAAGGTTCAAAGGCGCCTAAATGTATCTTAAATAAAACTTTGTTTTTTTAAGAAAAAAAGCAATAAACCTGATTATAAATCCTGCAATATATTACATTAAAAAATATCCTATTACAACAAAACAAATTTTAAATGAAATTAAACAAACAAACAAACAAATAAAAACAGTAGCAGCAGAGGTTACCTGTCTGAGCACCTACATTTTCTTAGGAGGGGATCGTGTCTCACCAGCCATATAGCCCATTAACCTTCTCAAAAAGAGTGAGCCAGGAGAAAATAACACAAGATTTGATTTCACAAGGTCTCTAGGCTCCCCAGGGCCCAAACTGGGGATTCACTGAACGAAGAGAATTTGTTTTTCCATTTTCTTCTTGAGAAAAAGAGATGATTTTGCAAGTCAATTATCTTTCAATGCCTTCCATAACTTCTCAGAAGTCTGATAAAGTGCTTGATGAAAGCAAGTCTCTTGATGATTTTTATAATGTTCCAGGATATTTTCTTATTGATAGCATATACAGAAAGATTTTAAAGTTCGGTGGAGTAAAAGCCAGCAGAAATGACCAATCAATTATAGGCACCATAAAAAAGAAACTATTAAAAATTTTAAATGGAACAGTTCATATTTATGTGTGTGTGTGTGTATAAATATAAATATAGTCCAGTTTTCATCATGGGTGACATAAAAACAATATTGGAAAGAATTATTTTTAAAATACAATTCAGAATTACAATTTTAACAATACACAATAATTTTACAATAACTCAAATTTTGGCATGATAATGATTATATATTTAATACATTTTTACCTCTCATAATAGCAATAAAGATTAAACAAGTTATTGAACAATACGAAAATATATTTAACTTTCACTTCAATATCTGGACTGTTTTATTTGAGTTCTTTCAGAACAATTTGTTCATATTCTTTACCTTAATTTTTAAAGGAATTCAAGCAGATATTCATGTTTTTAAAGTCTAAGATGACCATATCTTCCTTTTCACTCTAACGTTTGATTGTGTGATCCAGAAATAGGTTGGCAAAGCTATGTTTTAATATAATGTGAACATACAAATGATGCATAGTGAATAAAACTAAAGGTGAAATAATCTGATATTTCTTATAACTGGTTAATTTGGTAAAAATTTTTAAAAGGTTACCTACATTCTTCCTGGTGCCTATCCCACCCAACACAAACCTTGAGTTCTTCATCAAATAGAGGAGGTATTCTATTTGTGTTTCCAAATTCATTAATCTAAATACAACTATTCAGAGTATATGTAACATAATTTAGGTAGCAACCAGGTGGTCTCTACAGAAACATATGAATGATGATTTAGTTAGGCAGTTCTTTCTCCCTTATTTATTTCTCTATCCCAAATACTATACACCCTCCACAGTATGGTCATTCAATGAGAGAAGTACCAAATCTTTCTATTAATGAGTCAGCGGTACTTACGTATGTAAATCCCACAATAACCCTGTGCAAGTCAAATTCTTTTAAATGAGATTCAAATATCCTAAATTAGAAACTCCTCTTACGTATCTTTTTCTCAGGTGAAATGAAACACTGCACAGATTAGAAGTACTACTCTATTTGTCAACAATGAACCTTGCACTCAATTTAATATTATTTAATTCTATGGGGAAAAAACAAATTTTATTACATTCCTTTAAAACAGGGGGAAAACTGTACAAGTAAGCATGATCAAACCTCTGTTAGAGCTGGTTAATACTGAGCTTTATTATTGCCTCGAAGTCTCTCTAGTAGTGTCCAAGAAATTAAGTTTAAGGTCCATCTGAAGGAAAAAAAGCACTGGAGAGGCAAGAAAGGGCTTGGGTAAAAGCTTCAGAGGATTGTAGGGAGATGGAACTTGCTGTTTAAAAAAAAAAAATATTACGTTGAGCTCTGGAGCATCTCCATTTCTTAATACACCTTCCAAACCATCACTGGGATAGTTATAACCATGCTGTAAAGGCTCATCTTATATGCAGTTTTTGGGCTTTTATAAATCCAGAAAGTAAAGGAATATAAATGGTGGAGAGCACTGAAAGCTTCAGAGTAGGGCTGTAAGAGACTCAGTATTGCTAAGTCCCCAAACAAAAACGCCCAGTCTATCCCACCCTAAAACCTACGTGTAATAGTTGGAAATGCACCATCAGAAGCATTGAAGAAAAGCATGAAGGCTTGAATAAATCATACACTGAACAGTCTCGACACAGAAAAAAACCCAAACAACATATACACAAAAAAGCCTAAGAAGCATCTATTTTCCTTATGTCTTCAGGTGAGTATCTCTATCCCAATGGAGTGTAGTTATGAAAGCAACTAATCACTTTGAAGTAAAAAAAAGTATATCCCATCATGCTCCATTTTCTAGAATCTATCCTTTTTGACTGGTTGGTGTAAACAAAAAGCAAAACACATACACATGCTTGCGTGCACACACACACATATATATATACTCCCTCTTAAAATGTGAAAAATGCAAATATATAATGCTGGGGTTAGAAATCACTTCAGCTTATGTTTAAGAACTTATAGGTCATTGATTTGCCCCTGAAGAATATTTTCCCTTGTCCTTATTCTCTAAATGCCCAACTACCAAAAGAAAAATGGGGAAGGGAAAAAAAAAGGCTTTGCACATTTCAAGTCAGTTTCTTGTTAACAAAAAAGGGTAGCATTTTCTTCACTTTGGCCATTGTTTAAGATGCAGGCATAGATCAGGGAATGTTAGACTAGCATGTTTAAAAAAAAATGCAACATTAACAGAGCATATTATCTTTTCAAAAAAGACCAAAACACTAACAAATACAAGTCAATGCACATATTTTAAACTAGTGTAATTTTATCTACATTGGAGTAAATGTTATTTTGTGTACCAGACATTGCAATACTGTTCATTTCCCTTTTATCATGCAAACATGCCAATTTTGTCATTAAAAAAGAAACAAAAAAAACCTTTATTGGGTCATATTCACAATGCCCTCCCACCCAAATTAAAGGAAAAACTAAAAACAGAAATAATAAATCCCAGGATGAGCCCATTAAGACTTCATAAACTATGAATATACAGCTGGTAGTTAATACGTTAAAGGCAGAATTTTCAGATTTGTATAAAAAAATGTCTGTAATTTAAATAGATGTTTCCCTCACCTATTATAAATCTTTGCCACACAATGTAAAGTTTGCTACTCTGAAACTGGTACCAACTGGACAAAAACAAAAGCAAGGAACCATGAAAAAATTCTGTATGTTCTTTATGGACTGAGAGCACACACATTTTTGAATAATTAAAAGGGTGACTACAAGAACCTGACATTTCTCTGAATCTCACCTCTGGTGCCTAGCCTATATGTGTAATGTGTAAATGAAAGTCAGTAACATCTTAATAGCAGAGGTCTTGTCTACCTCCCTCTTCTTCTCTTCTAACTAATCGTACTCATTTTTGTCTCATTTTCCTGAGCATATTCCATGAACAGCATTGCAAGTTGGTTAAAAATAATAAAGGAAAAAAAAAAGAAAAAGAAAGTTTTACAAGGGTTTTGTTGGTTAATTATTTACCAGTGGAGTCACTCCACCAGGAGTTCAATTTCATTGGCTAGCAGCTGGTTCATGTTGAATAGGCCCCCTGGGAGCTTGGTGAGCAGTTCTCGCTCCGTGCTTTCAGGGTCGCTGTCAACAGAGCTGGAACTTGCGCTCATGTTGTCGACAGCAGTGGTGGCTGGGGGACCCAGCTCCGGCTCACTAGTCTCACTGGCCGTGGACACCACGGAGAGCAGGGACATACGCCGGGTGAGCCGGCCAGAGGGCAGAAGGGAGGCGGCATAGTCCGCTATGATACCAGCTACATCTAGATTACAAGCCTTATCAAAGGCGATGAAACCTACATTTGCATTGGCCTCGCAGACACAGAAGGAGCCGTCATCTTTCATCAACAGGTCAATGCCACACACATCCATCCCCAGGATATTAGACACCTGGATAGCTAGCTGCTTCCCTTGTTCACTCAATGAGCACATCATCCCCACACCACCTGGCAAAAAAGAAACAAAATAAGAAGTTACCAAAGTGATAAATTTCTAGAGTAAAACTAAAGCTGGCCTCTAAGGCTAACCCTTTCTTATAAATAAATAGTGAAGACAAAGGTGCCATTCTAGTGTGAAACTGGGACTTTGGCAGGCGAGAATTCTACCATTGACCCACCCATGCTAAATTTGGGACTTTGAAGTCTAAGTTTCCTTCATTAGGAAATCCCCTTCCAATCCAGTCTCTCTCACAGAATTCATGACCTTGTACTTTTTCAATAGGCTATTTTATCCTGAAGAAAACATTACATTTTCACTGAAGCCTATCTTACTTGCAGTAACACAGACCAGGTAGAAGGAACTTCTGCATATATGCAAGTATGACAAAAATAATAGAGACATATAATATGGACAAAGGGTAAGACAGACTCTGGGAACAAGGGGACCTGGGCATGTCTCTCTTCCCCTATGGTCCGCACTCCCATCTATCTGCGATTCCTCAGCCAAAAGGATTCTGGGGTTTAAGGGAGCTGACTGACTGTAGGTGAAATCTTGAGATTTGCTGGTATCTGAGGGAAAAGAATTAGAACTAGATTTTCTCATTTGAAAACCAGCTTCAGGAAGTTCTAAGAAAAGGACGAGAAAGCAAAGAATTTTGAGAAGAGCTTGAGTTAGAGAGCTCTGTGTATCCACAGAAGGAAAACTGGTATCAGAATTATGTGAATACAACTAATGTCTTTGATTCCAAAGAGACCAACAAGGAACTGCATAGGTAAGCTGAGGCCTCCCTACCACTGAAGCTGGAAGAATAGAGGAGGAGTCCAGAAAACAGGAAAGCTTCTTTTAAGGTAACTCAGTAGGAGTCTGGCACACTAGCCCATGAATTAATGACTCTATTTCTTAGCATCTGTAGGACTGATGCCATCTGGCATGTTCCAAATAACCAGAGCAGAGCCATAATGTGACAACAACACAGAGGTAGCAAGCCACCTATGACTAGAAAGAAATAAGAGCACTTTAAGGAGATTCAAGTTCAGCACAAAAAAAGACTTTCCAAAGCTAAAACAAAAACACAATTACCTAAATGAAAACTTTTTATAGAATTGAAGGAAAGTTTAGTCACTTTTCGAAGTCAACTTGGAACACAAGTGTAAGAAATATTTTGAAGCGCATACAAAAAACCTGAAGTAAAATTACAAAACCAAGATAAGTACGGAGGACTGACTTGGAAAAAACTACTCCAGAAGGAGAGAAACCAAATGAAAGAGAGTTAATAATTAAAAAAGAAATTTGCCTTGAAACTAATAAAACTGAGTTGGCTGACGAAAACAGTTTACTCAGATCCATGCTGGACTGATTGAGAAAAGACACATACCTAAAAATATCCTGAAAAAAATCTGAGTTAAAAAAAAAAAAAGGGCAAGACTTACAAAGAATAAATCACCGACCGAAATAAATACCTAAATAAATAAAAAGTAGATTTGGACATTGAACCAACAATGTAACCTATAAGGCAGAATTGAAGCTTGACTCTTAAAATGTGAAAATCAGATCTTGGCCAATACATTATTCTCCATTCAGAAAGAAAAATGTATAAGGATATCTGTCCCTCTCACACCCCCATCTTGGGAAAATGATCAAGAAAAAAATACTAACAAAACAGCAAATGACTAAGACGACGGACCTCAAGATATGGGAAGATTAAGATGAGGAGTAAATAGTGGGGAGTAATGATTCTTGCCATATAGGCATAATGAACTCTAAATGGATTTAAAAAGACTACCTTGGAATAGATCATGTGAGTGCTATATAAGCAATTCCTGAAACATAAGAGAAATTCTAATATAGATTTGGACTGAAATTACGAAATGATTCTGCAAAACACTGGAATTTTAAGCAGGGATTTTTGTCTGTTTTGTTCACTACTATATAACAAAATACTGTTACAGCACTTAATACTGTGTATGGGTGAATATTTATCATAAAAGGCCTCTCAGGGGATGGAGTAATGAGGCCACTCAATTCTGAAAAACAAGATAAAGGGGCTCTTGCTCTATCAAACATCGAGGCATAATGCCAGAGGAACTAAGACTGATAGTCACACAGTGAAAAATTAGTACAACAGATGAGAGGGCCCTTAAACAAACCAATGCATATGTGAAAATTCAATACATTAAAAAGATGGCTTCACAATAAAAGTAGAAATGTCATTAAAAAAAAGGCGGCATTACAAATCTGTATTAAACAGAGTATTTAATAAAGAGTGCTGGGACAACCAATTACTCATTTGGAAAAGAGAAAAAGGGAATACAGAGGGCAAGATGACCCTAAGGATGTTGGTCTAAGCTGGAAAGGTAGAATTACCATTAAATGATAAGAAGAAAACTGTTGGTGTGGAACACACTAGGAGGGAAAGTTACATTAGCAGTTCAGTTTTGGACATGTTAAAATTAAAATGTCTATTAGATATTGACATGGAGATAATTGAGTGGGCAGTTATATTTGCCTGGAGTTCAGGGAGAAAGCCTAAATTGGATATATACATTTGAAAATAACAACATATAGATGGTATTTAAAGCCATGAGCTAGGTAAAATTACTAAGAAAGTGAAATAAACAGAGAAGAAAAAACTCAGGCTAAGCTCTGAAGCACTGTAACAATAAGAGATCTCAGAAAACACACATTTAGAAAAAACAAAATCAGCAATCCTGTTTGGACCAATAATGAGTTAAGATACATCTACCTTAAATGAACCCCAATTATACACAAAATTAGTATATTAACAAAGAGGGAATCTTTAGTCAGACATTCCATACACGTTTGAATTCAGCTTGGGTAAAAGTAAATTCGTAATTCGGAGAAATCCAATTTTATTACTAAAAAAATAACAACCCTCAAAAGTATATTTATTACATTGATAAGTCTATCATATTTACATGTGAAAGATTTTTTTTTCAACTTATTGAATAAAAATCTGTAGTTATATATAAATACTCATTGGACAAGCTGTAATATTATTTAATATACTAGAAAGACACCTGCATCATTTTTACCTAGTGAGCAGTTGCTTTGCATCCTCCCGTCTGTTGAACAGCGTAACATGGTGCCAACCACACGGCCTCCCACAACAATGACACGTACATCCCGTCCATGAGACTCTTTAACATACTTCTGGAACAGGTATGGAGCTTCATGGCGAATAAGATGGCTTAGATCAGCCAAATGGTGCTTATCTCGAGCCAAGAAAACAGCCTTGCCTGTGAATGAAAAAGAATAAAAAAATATGTGCAAGTCATCAATCTGTGGGTAAACTGCTATCTATTGCCTCCATCTTCTTGTGTCCCAATCTGTTCTCTCAGAATCAATTACTTTTTAACCAAAGTAATATAGTTATAATTAGTAAGAGTGCAAAAACTGTACATAAAGTTAATAATTGCCATCATTGAGTCTCTCAATCTCCAAACTCGTACAGTAATCAAGAATTAATTTCAGTTTATGTTGTGAGGTAGGGATCTAAGATTTGTATTCCTCCAGGTTAGCCAGTAATGCCAGATTCATTTATTAGCAAACATTCCCCTCTAAGTTAAAACATGTCATTAATTTGAACAATACATTAATATATTTCATTTGTATGGAGGGATGGGCAAAAGTAGGTTTAGTTATTTGTATGGAAAAAGACATTCAGGTCATGATTATCACAATAGTTTTATTAACTTGTGTTTCACATACTTACAACTGTAAACCTAATTTTGCCCACCCTGTATAGTAAAAATAGTAGTACGTCACCACATACTTAAGCTTTATTTCTGAATTCTTTAGTCTGTTCCATTGCTCTGTTTGTAAATTTTTACACCAATGGAAGTGGCTGTTTTTAAAGCAGTTATATTTCCTTTGACGGTCTTCCCAGCAGGAAGAGGGGGAATCTAGGTCCCGTGCCTTTGAATTTAGGAGGACTTGTTATTGCCTGAACCTAGAGAATACAGCAGAAGTGATTCTATGTGACTTTCGAGGCTAGGTCACAAAAGCTCATGCCACTTCTTCGGTCATTGGAGCATTCACTCTAGTGCACTGAGACTCCTTGGCTGCCACAGTGGTGAAGCCAAATATAAACAATGCAGTCAAGAGTCCCAGCTGACCCCTGATACACTATCCTTGTCAAGGCACTAAATTTTGTTAAGTACTTGGATTTATGAAGCATTTTATGAATTAAAAAATCTTTCCTTAATCTGAAGTCATTTAAAAGCTTTTATAAATTGTCTTCTAAAGCTGTACATTTTTGCTTTATACATTTATTTTTCAAACTATATAAATTGGGAGAGGAATGACTGAAGTCAGTGATATAAGGTCCTTGTGTTGTTGAAAAAGAAGATAATGGTATTAACTTGGGACTCAGTCTAAATTAAGTATGTACCTTAAAACTTCTACTATAATCAATAAACGGAAGAAATAGCTTCTAGCCAAACTGAAGAACTCACAGAAGCCTTCTGTAAGTTTGGTACCATGTATCAACTTCCCTCTAATTTTTCTTCAGAAGCCCTGCTTCAAAACCTATAAATTTCAATCGACAAGACTACTGTTTAATCAATAACCATGAACAAATTCAAAGCAGTAATTGCTCTGATCTAATTTTTAAAAAGTCTATATTGTATAATCACCCTTATTAATTCTCAACAGTAAATTTCAATATTATGTACCATAACAACGACTCATACATACCTCTATGACCTCGTGTATTCTTCACTACCATTGGGAACTCCAGTACTTCTGCTTCATCAATCATTTTAGAAAAATTTTCATGACCACCTGGTTTGAGCAAAATACAGGGGCAATAAAGGTGATTTGTGACAGATTTTATCTACACTAAAGTCAGCAAAAAAAAGAGAGGTAGGAGGTTAAGAACCCGATGACTAAATTTTGTTTTTCTTGGAGAAAGTAATAAATAAAAGTTGAAAAAACAGTTAAGTATCAGTTTAAAACAACCACCCCTTTTAAAATGGAAAAAAGCAATCTTAAACTATAAATATTCTAATACCCAACCTAAAGAAAAAAAGTGTGCTTCAGCTAAAACAATGTTTCCTAACTCTAAACCATTTTTCATATTTTTATCCCTTATTTTTCCACTCTAAAAATATTAGATGACTCAAGACCTATTTTAGTACATTCAACTCCCTGTTTGGGTTAAGAAACAAAATAATGAGTTAGTTGAGAAGGCTCATCCAAGGCTGAAGATACTGCATGTGTATATATACACACACTCTCTCTCTCAAACACATAAATTAATTTTTCTTATCTCTATTATTAATCAGAGTTCCTTCTACACTGGGCTACTCAGTACCAGTGTGCTAAGTCTTGGTTCTTACTGTTTTTATTGCCTAGGAACACATGATACAGTAGCAAGATTAGTGCAAAAAAATGGACTATAGTTGTAAAAAAAGAGTATTAACACAATGATATAGAAAAACAAAACCTGAAGAAAGTTCATTAGGTGCAATGTCATAAATTTGCAGCTTAGAGAAATTAAGATGATCACTCCCCAAATTTTAAAACTTCAGTATCAGACCATAGGTAATATTTAATTTGTTTAACCCTTTCCTCCTTTCCATCTTCTTAAAACCAGAAGTACAGAGCTATGATATAAGCATCAGAAAGACAGAATTCTGAAACTACTCATACTGTCTCTTCTTGTGCAATTGCTAAAAACAGCAGCTGTTTCACATATACAGACTTGAAGACTTCCCTTCTTTAAAATATTAAAAATAAGACAGGAATTTCTTTTTAAAGCCTCAGTAACCCTCCAAGCATTCAACTGGACATTTATTTGGAGAAATATCTTCATGAAAAACTACACTGATTTATATAGTAAATCTTATCCTTTCCAAACTAGAAAACCTGAAAAGACAGAAAATATATTAAAAACACTGTATAATAGCAGTGCTACTCACAGTGCGGTCTAGTAACCTGTGCCCATTTCTGACTTCCTTGCTTTTGATCGTTGACCAGATAAATATAAAAAGAGTAAGCACTAGAAGCTTTTACAGCAATTTGGCATTGCTGTAATATTTTCATTGTACTTTATAAGAATATTCATACAAAGCAGACCAGTCTTTGAAAAAAAAAAAAAAATCCTTTACCACAGATAAAGCATACCTAGTATACTATCATTTTCTTAATAAAAAAAATTATAAAGAATTATTATGAAAATGGTAATAAATATTAACAGAAATAAAAAGAGATGTCATCAAATTCTATTATCTTTTACCACAGGGGCTGGCAAACTAAAGCCTGCGGGACAGCTTTGGCCCACTGCCTTTTTTTGTAATAAAGTTTTACTGGAACCCAGCTATACTCATTTGTTTAAGCATCTTCTATAGCAGTTTTCACACTATAACAGCATTACTGAGAGTCACAAGAGAGAATGTATAACCTAGAAAGCCCAAAATTTGACTATTTGGCCCTTTACTGGAAAAGTTTGCTAAGTTTGTTCTACCCATATCAAGGAACTAATCTTAAGACATGACTCATAATTCTCCTGCCCAGTTTGTTAAAACCCAAAGTTACTTCTATAAGTTCTTTCATATTCACAAATTTCCTTATATCACATAACTCTATTAGCTTGGTATGACTCTCAAAACTATCAGTTCTCTAACACTTAAGACTATAAATTCTTATTAGTGAACAAACCATAAGAGAAAGTATCTGGCAGAGGAACACCATGGCCAGCCAACTCTTGAAATGTCCAGAACTTATTAACACAGTTCAGGATGGCTTGAGGTCGGTTCATCAACCGGCATCCCATCTTCTCCAGGTGGCGCAAAACAGTGATGTCACTGTCACTTTGTACCCAAGGGGTTGGTACTCTCACTACCACCACCTGGGGGTAGGCAGTAATTAGTTCTCCATTGATCCGAAGACCTGAAATACACACACACAACCCCAAAACCATTAAAATGAGATATACAATAAAAGAAGGAACAGAAATATACCACAACTTGGGTCACAAAATTAAATGTACTATGTTATTAACGTTTCATTGAGACAAAAAGATATCCCTCCTTAAATTGTATTTCTTTGCAAAAAGAGGAAAACTTAATGAGAAAAACTTCTGTAATGGTTAAATAATTGTGTATGTCAACATAAAGGAATACAACATAGCCATTAAAATGAATGTCATAACCTGAAATGGAAAAATGTTCAGATGTTGAACATTTTTGTTTAAAAAAAAAAAAGGCAACTCTGGGAATAATTTTATCTGTTTGCATATGCATAAAAAATGTATAAAAGGATAAATGATGTAAATGTCTTTCTCTGAGTATAAGTGAATGGCAAGGCAGGAAGCAGAAGATAGAATAAGGAGCTTTAACACTGTGCTCCATGTAATTCTCTATATTATTTATGTTCTTTTTAAAGTGAGGACATATATTTTTATAATGAAATATTTTAAAAATAGAAGTTTCTTGAATTTTAGCCAATATCATTCTATTTAAAGAAGTCCCAGATTAAAAAAAAACAAACTTTTCATTTAAAAATAGTTCATTTACTTGTTTATACTGTTCATACACAAGAATACAGGAGTGGGCAAAAGTAAGTTTACAGTTGTGAGTACACAAAAAAGTTTATCCTTGTATTATTTATTAACTATTGTATTATTTTCCAAACAACTCTAAACCTACTTTTGCCCACCCCTGTATCTAATATATTCACTTTCCATCCAAGATCATTGGTACTTAGTGTTTATAGTATGTATTTTTCCCACTGTTAATCTTAGCATAGAATAATATATAATCTTTAGGATAAAGTGTTTATATTACTTTGTCACTTTCACTACTTAAAATTACACCACATCTTTCTATGTCAGTGCATATATTATAGCTCTATTTCCTTTTTTAGGAGGCTGAATGGAATTATATTTTATAAATATGCCATATGATCCATCCAATAGATATGAAGCAATTACTATGCATCAGATGATTTTCTAAAAGTTGGGAATAGAGTCGTGGTTGGTGTGGCTCAGTAGATTGAGCACCGGCCTGTGAACCTGTGAACCAAAAGGTCACTAGCTCGATTCCTGGTCATGGCACATGCCTGGGTTACGGGCCAGGTCCCCACTTGGGGGTGAGCAAGAGTCAGCCAATCAATGTATCTCTCACATATCCATGTTTCTCTCTTTATCCCTCCCTTTCCTCTCTCTAAAAATAAATAAAGAAATCTTTAAAAATTGGGAACAGATAGGTAAATAAGGCAGACAAGGTATTTACTGTACTGTGGAAGAGAGACTGTTCTATAACATGACAGCTGTCTGTCAGAACCTTGTGCTAGGATCCAGAAGATCGAGCTATATCCAACCAAGAACAACAATTGCTTCCCATACATCCCCACACAGATTGTCCAACTCTTCCCCTATGCCCCAGGCATGCTGGTTCCTGGAACAGGCCCTTGCCCTCCCCAGGTCAGGCATATAAGGAATTTCCCATTATCTGGGGCAGGTCACATCCCAGTACCCCTATTCATCCTGCCCTGTCCTATATAACCCTATAGTGCCTGCTATGACATGTTTCATATAGGCAAGTTCCCTTAATAAACTCAATGTAATACTAGAGTTGTCGGCCTCTTTCTTCAGTAGCTAGGTCCTGGGAATTTTTGTGTTAACAGGTAGTGGCACTCAAGAAGCTTTCATTCTAGTGGGAGAAACTCTATGTATTAGTTTTTATGGTACTGGCTTTTAAACATGGTAGAAATTCTAATACAGGAGAAATTGGTGAGAGGTAACATCCGAGTTAGAGAATAAGCCTTGAGAAGTGTTTGTTTAAAGCAAAAAGAAATGACACTTCAGAAGTAAGGGCGCAGCAGAAGTCATAGGGCAAAAAGAGCAGTAAGAAAGTGCCTCAATTTTAACTTGTATTCATGTAATATGTAAAACATAAGGTTGGTCATGTTACGGTGAAGTTGTCAAATATGCAAAGCTGGAAACTCTTAAGATATAACTGACATACACTGTATTGGTTTCAGGTATATAACATAATGAATCAACATTTGTATATATTGTGAAATTAACACCACAATAAATTTAGTTGACATCTGGCACCTCACATAGTTAACAACTTTTTTCTTTTGATGGGAACTTTTAAGTTTTACTCTCTTGACAACTTTTAAATATACAACACACTATTGTGAACTACAGTCACCATGCTATACATTACATCCACAGGACCTATTTATCTTCTAACTAGAAGTTCGTACCTTTTAACCACCTTCGCCCATTGCCCCCTCAGCGTCCCAATCCCATCCCTCCTTCACCTGCCTCTGGCCACCACCAAACTATTATCTGTATCAAGGACTTTGGTTCTGCATATTAGTGAGATCATACAGTACTTGTCTTTCTCTGTGTGACTTATTTCACTTACCATAATTCCCTCAAAGTCCATCTATGGTGTCACAAATGACAGGATTTCCTTCTTTTCTATGGCTAGATAATATTCCATTATATACACACACCACATGTTCTTTACCCATCCATCCATTTAAACTTAGTTTATTTCCAATTTTTAGCTATTGTAAATAATGCTGCAATGGGGGTGCAGATATATCAAGATAGTGATTTCATTTCCTTCAGTTAAACACTCAAAGTGCAGTTGCTAGATCCACAAACTCTGAGCTGAAGAGTTTATATAACTGCCTTGATTAAGATAACTGAGGGTGTGTGCTGAATATTGTCTGCTGATACTTTACACTGCCCTCCCCCTCTGTATGACAGGGATTAGGAACATTTCCCATGCTCCTTTGCCAGAAGGATTCCATGTTGAAAATCCATCAACAAGAGATAATTATATAAAATTTGAAAGGTGAAAGAGATCTAGAAGTCACTCTTCCCCAGAAGCAGCTGTGGATAGGTACTTGGTCATGAGCAGATGTGAGGTTCTACCAGTGGCTGCAGGGTTCTCACAATCATTCACTGTGCTGCTGCTATAGGCATCTTAAGATCAGCAGCAGCAGCAGATTTCTGCAATCCTACACTTTTTTCTCATTTCTTAGGCTTCAGCACTAAATTGTCTCAACAGTCACTCAAAAAATAAAATCTAAAGAGTATTTTTTTTAAATAGGAAAAAAAACTACTGAGCAGATTAAAATTGTAAAAAGTTTGAGACTAAGATATAAAGAATGGGAAAGCTAAAAAAGGAAGCCAGTTTAGGACAAAGATGCTGACTTTGGATCTAGATATAAAAGATTCTGGTGATAACTCAAGAACATCAAAGTAGAACTATTACACATATGTACATATAATTCATATTGGTAGTATGGAGTGTGTTTGTTTAGTTGTGGGAATCAGCCCAAGATATATAACTAAAGAAATCAGAATATACAGGCTGAAAAACAAAAGGAAATAACAGAAAAATCTAGAACCAAGATTTAGTGAATCTCATTAATGAAGCAAAAGCCTGGGGGGAAAAAAAGCACTCAAAAAACTAGGAAAATCTAGTGCTAAGTACTACTGTGAAAGATAAGAGAAGTCACCATTATCAGGAAGAATGATCAAACTCATTAAATAAAACAGAGGTAACAAAAAGTTGAGTTTTGAGAAAGGCTTGAATGATCAGGAAAAGAGACACTATCAACTGTCAGGAACAAATTTCAACTATTACATTACTTTCTCATTTTCCTAATAGGAGACAGTTTTTGCTCTTTTTAAGCAATGGGATAAAAAAAAAAAGCAATGCAACTATTTCACGCTTAGGCCATACAACCAGTAAGAACCACCTATCTCCTGAGACGGGAGATAGGAATACTTTATATCAGAGACGGGAATATGGGAGTACTTTATATGAAGTGCAGTCAGATCTGCATAGTATACTTATGTGGGTACTATTGAGGCTGGAAAGAAATCCAATGTCTCCAGTAACAGAAAGACACACTTTGTTATTCTAGGCCAGCAGAAGGTGATCAAAGGCTGGAAAGAAGAGCAGGTATGGACAGATGAGCATGAGCCAAAATAGGCAAAGTGACATCTCTTAGGTACTAGTAGCAAATGCCACTGTTTAAGAATCCATTCTTAAAAGTATATGGCTTTAGTACCTGTGTGTCCTATCAAAATATCCTTCTTTAACATCGTCAGTAATCCTGTTTCCTTCTCATTTGTTTCCAAGTCTTATCTAGCTATTAATCCTAAAATAGATTTTTTTTTTCTTAAAAGGTAAGTTCTTTTGGGAATGATGAAGAACCAATAAAATTCTTTTCCCTGACTCTCATCAGTGGTACAGAAAGAAACAAAAGGAAGACTACTATCTATAACTACGGGCCTCATTATCATTGAGGATTGCCTCACGGCAGCAGTCACGTGTTTTAAAAAAAGACAGCAAATGGGTGAACTGTTTTTTAATTAAAATAAATTGAATATAACTTATTTGAAAAAAATAAAAGAGAAAAGAAAGGAGAAAGAAAACAGGGAGATAGGAAGCAAGCAAACAAGCAAAGCAATCATTAGCTGTCCATTTTTAAAGCATTTTTTGTCTTCAAACAATATAGAATCTGAGAAGATAACCAACTCTATCACAAGAATGAGCAAAAGGAAGTTAAGATATATCCAATTTAGAGAATGCTAATGACACTAGCTATAATTCACCTCCTTAGATTTCACAAATGCTGACTAACATTCAAGCTCTACATGTTTGAGTACATTCTTTACAGCTTTTCTAAGATAGTAATAAAAGAAATTTGTTCAAGAGAAATACTTCATGAAACAGAAAAACAAAAAGACAAAATACCCTCAAGGGACTCATCCATTTACTCATTCATTCAAAAATATTTGCTGAGCACCTACCTTAAGATACTCTGAAACCTGGGATAAAATCCTAGCCCCACTTGAGGGGTTTTGAGGAGAATGGAAGGAGGAATATGCTGTAAAGCACTTAATAATAAAT